TTTAAAAAATGTTATATAATAAAGCAGTTATTTTTAGATATTAACTGCATCAAAATTTAAATTAGTAGTAATAATTAAGAAATCGATTATCTTTTATTAAAAAAACTGATAATTAAACCAATTAATTAGTTTTTTTCCCTCCTCCTATTCATTAAAGTCATTAATGCTAATAAATCGTAAAAAATTTCATAAAAGGGAGTATCAAATTATTAATGTAAGTTATTTAAATAATCGCATTATCTAAACTTGGGTTTTTCAATCGAGGGATCGCGATCTCCCTGTGGTTACAAACTGCATTTTTTATGTAATGATGTTAAAATTTTAAAAAACACTGATTTATAAAGTATCAAATTGGTAGATCGCGATCTACCAGTTGATAAAGTTTAACCTAATTAGTTGCTTATTAATGATTAAAAGTTAAAAGATACGCTAAAATAATATAATAATCTTCACAAATGAATCAATATAATTTATAAAATATTTCAAAATTTTAATTTTTTTCTTTTATTAATAAGATAATTTAAAGTTATATTCTACACACATTCCCAACCTGCAACTCTCGATCTACCAATTGAAGGATTATGTATTAATTTAATCTTTTAAAAGAAAATTTAGTGATATTAAGTGATTATTTTTCTCAACCGACAATTTGCTTAATAAATAATTACACTTCACTAACATCGAGTAGTTAATCATTCTTAATATTTCAATTGTTTAATATAGTTTATCATCATAATATCTTAAAATGTTTATCAAATATGATAATGATGATCGTTCATATATCAAAGATAACGAATATCTTCTCGCTTATATTCAATTGTTGCGAGCATTCAAAGTCATTAGTTAAAAGATAATTAACAGTTTGGTATTTTTTCAGAAGTCATCCTCCTCTATCGAAAGATTAATGTCATATGATGAAAAGAAAAATTCAAAATGATAAGTTTATCATCTTATTTCTTTTATAAATTAATTAATTTTCTACAAATTCAAAATATATTTATCAATTATATAAATCTATGCTTTGTTTCTTAAATTAGAATTAATTTTATATTAATTTTTTACTATTAATTAAGTAATTTAGTCGATAAAAAGTTACTTATCTAATGCGGATCTGTATCAAAAGGATTATAAGAGGAGAATGTTCTTCTATTTTGTTTCTAGTCAAGTATGATTAATATGAAATTTTAAACTTTTAAAACTGAAAAATGAATTATAATTATTCGCTTTTGTTGCTTAATTACGAGTTTAATAAACAGAAAATTTGATTAAAAATGTAAATTGTGTTGTTATAACATATTATAAATTTTATTTAACATAATTAGGATTATTATTTGATTAAAAATCTATTGAAATTTGTTAAAATTTATTGATTAATGTTGTTAAAATATTTAAATTATAAATTTATAGTATACACAATATATAAAAAAAATATAAAATTTTAACTTATTTAATTATTGAAATTCAATTTTTTCACTAATACATTTAATAGGCCTATATATAAATATATCAAAGATAAATTACTTTTTAAAATAAATTTTTAATTAAAAAGAAAAAGAAAACATAATTAGAAAATTAACCTTACTTTATAAGCAATTTACATTTATTAATTTTTTAAATTAAAATAATTATAAAATAATAAATTTATCATTTAGCTAAATGCTAATTAAAAAGATAATTAACAAAAATAATTTTTAATTAAAATAACAAAATCTAAATTAATTGTATTGCATTTTTTTCCATTCAAAAACACAAAAATTCTGTGTTACTTATTGGATTTTTCTAAGCAATTTTAATGAAGACCAATCAAAGAAACATTAATTGTAGTTTGTATATTCTTTATTTACTTATTTCCTATTTTTAAATATATTTTCTTTACTTCTTTTTTTTCTTTATTCATTAATTAAAGTGATACCAGTTGACTTGATTTCTACAACATTAAATATCTCAAAGGGTATAATGATTGATATACTTTTCTAAGTGGCAATGCTTTAAATAAAAAATTACCAATTTACAATACAATATATATTTAGTTTTTATATGTTTTTTACTATTTAATTTGTAATTTTTATTCATTTTTAATGAAAAAGTATCCAACATTATCTACATGTTGTAATTTTTCCCCTTAATTTCTATCAATTGGACCATTCTACTTGATAAAAATTTAACTTGATAATTAGTTCATGTTTTAGATTTTTATTTTGAATTTTTTTATATATAAATTTGAAGTAAATAAAAATAAACAGGTTTATTCAAGTTTTTTAATATTTAATTTTAAGTTATTTTGAATAAGAATTTTTCAAGGATTATATATATTAAAAATTTTTTATATTAAAAAATATATATTTTTTAATATTTTAAAAAAGTAAATAAAAATAAATAATCTTTTAAGATCATTATTCAAAGTGTGAATTTTATGAATTCATGTTCATATATTTATTATCCTTATCTGAATATATATATATATAAGTTAAATTAAATCTACTTGAAATTATTTTTAGATGAGTGAAATATATATAAATAAAAAAAAAACAATTAATTTTAAATTTCATATCATCTTTTACTATTTTTTAAGCTTAAAAAATGTTATAAGTATCAAATATTTTACATTTAATGAGCTCTTTACACAAAAAATAATTTATTTTAATATATTTTTTATTGGATATTAAATTTTTTAATGATTTATGTCATGAGATGAAAGGAACAAAATTTAAGATTTTTATAATTTTTAATGATTTTTTTATGTTAAAACTTATTAAGAACTCCAAAAAAATTTTAAAATAATACTTTAAAATTATTGAAATCAAATAAGGAAAAGAGTAAAACATTATTTATATTTTAATCCCTTCACGGTCTTTGATGATTTATTGATTTAATATTATATTACAAATGAAAATTTAAAAATATATTTAAATTTTAAATGAAAAATTATAATTAATTCTAGAAATTATAGTACAGATGGGCTATTTATTATTTATAGAATAGATTTGTATATACATATATTAATTGTAAAAAAATTAATTTAAAGTAAATAATTAAATATATATATAAAATAAAGTAGTATATTAATTAAATAAATTATTTTGTTTATAGAGGTAAAGGAGTCAGAATAATAAATCAAATAATGGGCCAATTAGCATGAGAAGAGAATGAGTAAAGAGAAAATTAAAGTAGTTCTGTGATTCTGACGTATTCACAATATAAACGCTTCAATTTGTCAATTAGTTAAATAATTCCCTTTGTAAACGTATAAATTAAGGAAAAATATATATTTAAAAAATATTTTTACTTACTTTATCATATATTTATTAAATTTATATATTCTTAAATATATTATTCTATTTAAAAAAATAATAATAAAAGTTGAAGAAATGAAAGGAGGGAAAAAATGACGAATCGTTAATTAAGAAAATGATTATGTTAAATGGGAAACTCTGTTATGAGTCATAAATTTTCTATTTTATGAGGTAAAGCGGTGTATAATACATTAATTTTCCGAAAGTTATTTTTAAATGATTTTTTAAAAAGTAAACGAGTAAAATATACTCTTATTTTATTTATTAGTAATTACATTAAATAAAAAAATATATTTTGTTTAGCTTTTAATAATGCAAATATATGAAAATTTCGTTTAAATTTTTTATAATAAATAATTTTTTTTAGAAGAA